TAAGCGCACATTTCATATTTCTCTTTTTCTTTTCTCTCTCTCTCTCTCTCTCTCTTTTTGAGACAGGGTTTCTCTGTAGCTTTAGAGCCTGTCCTGGAACTAGCTCTTGTAGACCAGGCTGGTCTCGAACTCACAGAGGTCCGCTTGCCTCTGCCTCCCGAGTGCTGGGATTAAAGGCGTGCACCACCACCGCCCGGCTATTTCTCTTTTCTAACAATGGCGATGATAACTCACACTGACTGTGATGTGCTAGAGGCGGGGCCACAGTCAAGAGAATCATTTCAGGGGTTTGTGCCAGAAGATGACTTGTGATCGAAGCATGGGCTCCTGCTTGTGGGCTGCAGTCCAGCCCCACAGCCTGCTCCCCATCACTGTCACTGGCTTGAGCTCTTAGTCAACACAACTGGGACCTCTTACCTCTTGTGAACACGGAAAAAGCGAGTGTGAAGTCTGTCCCATGTGCCAGATGACCTAGCCCCTCCCCCACCTCTGCTTAGAAACTTCTGGTGACCCACACACCCAGTGGAGAAGGCTGAATCACATCACCATGGCTTACAAAAGCAGGGAAGAGCTGGCGCTACCTGAGTCTAACCACAGTCCTTTCCGCTTTCGATTTTTGGCTTTCTGGTTCTTTTTCAGTTCCTCTAGGACCATGCGTTTCCTCCCACTTCTGGTCCACTGCATTGACCTCTCTCTGCCCTGCACCAGGCAGCATCCATACCCCTCACCTGACATCTTACCTTCTGAATTACATGCTGCCTCCTACAGGAAGTCCTCTTTCTGACCAGTGCTTGAGCCAGGGCCTACAGAACCCACATGACCGCCCATGCCTCGTCTCCCTCCTGATTCTTGTTCATAGTGACGCCTTTCCTAGCCTCACCAACCTTATTTCAGTTCCTCATGGAAGCAAAAGAATGAAAAACCAAAAGCAAAACAAAACAAAAAAAGTTTTTTTCTTTTTTTTTCTTTCTTTTCATGCATACATGGTGTTTTGCCTAAAGTGTGTCTGAGTTATGGATGGCTGTGACCCACCATGTGGGATCTGGGTCCTTTGGAAGAGCAGCCAGTGCACTTAACCACTGAGCCAACTCTCCAGCCTCCTACCTCCCAAAAGAAATTTTAGCCGGGCGGTGGTGGCACGCCGGGCGGTGGTGGCGCACGCCTTTAATCCCAGCACTTGGGAGGCAGAGGCAGGCGGATCTCTGCGAGTTCGAGACCAGCCTGGTCTACAAGAGCTAGTTCCAGGACAGGCTCCAAAGCTACAGAGAAACCCTGTCTCGAAAAACAAAAAAAAAAAAAAAAAAAGAAATTTTAAAAAGTTTGGTGTAGCCAGGCAGTGGTGGGGCACACCTTTAATCCCAGCACTCGATAGGCAGAGACAGGAGGATCTCTGTGAGTTTGAGGCTAGCCTCGTCTACAGAGTGAGTTCCAGGACAGCCAGGGCTACATAGTGAAATGAAACCCTGTCTCTGAAAAAAAAAAAAACCAACCAACCAAGCAAACAAAAAACAAAACAAAAACTTTGGTGTCTGTGTGTGAATAATGTGTGACACCCAGCCCCCAAAATTTATCTTTTCCTCCCCAGTGTTGACAACCACATTGTTTTTGAGTTCCCAGCACACTCTCTCCCATCACCCAATCCATTCTCATAACACTTCCTTCAGCTTCCAGCGAAGCCTTGTCCTCCTGCATGAAGTCACGCTGTTTGCCGTCCTGAGACAATCTGAGCCATTTCTGATCCTCACCCAGCCTGTGAGGGAGGGCTCCTGCGCCTTCTCCAGTTCACAGTGACCACAGTGGCCCTCCCCAATGCAGCCTGACTGCTTTGTTCCTGTCACCTGTCCTGTTTCCAATCCCCAGTGTAGCAAAGGCTGACTTTGAACTTCTGATCCTCCTGCCACCACCTGAGATGACAGGCCTGTGCCACCATCTCTGTTTCATGTGGTGCTGGGAATCAAACCCAGGACTTCATGCGTGCCAGGCAAACACGAGATATACCAACCAGGGTACATCCCCAACTCTGACTACTTGAGTTAGTCACATTCTGCCCAGTGTGACTGAATACATAACAAAGGCAGCATGTGGAAGAAAGGGAAGATGTCCGCCCCTAATTTGAGAATACAGTCAGCTCATCATGGAGTCCAGGGCATGAGGTGACCGGTCACTCTGGGACCCCAGTGAAGAAGCAGAGGAAGGAGGTGCTTTCTGCTTTTGATTCACTCTGGGACCCCACCTCACACTGAGTCCACATTCAGGCTAGATCCTTCCCACCTCAGTTAACCCAATCTAGAAACTTCCTCGTGGACGTGCCCAGAAGTCCCCTCCTAGGTGAACCATGAAGGCCCACCGGCACCCTTTGGTGACAGTCCTGACATTTCCCCAACTGTGAGAGGCAGGACCAGCCAGGGCGGTGTCTGTCTCTGCTGTGTCTCCAGGTCTGCCTCGTCCAGGCCTCTGGTAGGTGATGGTGACTGCTTTCTGAGTGAACCCCTCCCTCCGCAGTGCTACCTGTTCCACATGTACGTGGGTGTCCGGGCTGGCGGAGGCATCGGGGACGAGATTGAGGACCCAGCGGGTGATGAGTATGAACTCTACCGGGTTGTCTTCGACATCACCTTTTTCTTCTTCGTCATTATTATCCTGCTAGCCATCATTCAGGGTCAGTGCTGGCTGGGTGTGTGGGTGTGAGGAGCACCTAGTGGCTGGGGGCTGGCTACCTCCCTGGCTTAGCCTCTTCCTACCCTAAGCCCTCACGCTGGTGGTCTTTCTGAGCCTCAGTTTCTCCATCTGAAAAAATGGAGGCGTTAAAACCGGGCACAGTTGTCACATGACTATAATCTTAGCTCTCGGGAAGCGGGGGCAGGAGGGCTGCATAAGCTTGGGGCCAACCTGGTCTACACTCCAGACCAGTCAAGGCTACAGTATTTAAGATGCCATGAAGATTAAGCCATGCATTCCTTTGAAGTGTCTGCCCCGTAGGAAGTACTCAGTAACTGCCTGGTTCTATTCTATTTGGGAAGTGTGGCAAGATCAGGGAACCCATGGAAGAAAGGCAAGGCCCAGAGGTGCTGAGTGTACAGGGTCCTGACTTGTGTCCTGCCTGATCTGTGTCCTGCCACCCCAGGTCTGATTATTGATGCTTTCGGGGAGCTCCGAGACCAGCAAGAGCAAGTGAAGGAGGACATGGAGGTGCATCAGGGCAAGGATGACTCTGAGGGGTTGTGGGGTACCAGGGATGTCATATGGACCTTGACTCTGACATCCTTCATTGTCCTCAGACCAAGTGCTTCATCTGCGGGATAGGCAGTGACTACTTTGATACGACCCCACATGGATTTGAGACCCACACTCTGGAGGAGCACAACCTGGCCAATTACATGTAAGGATGGGAAGTGGTGGGTAATCAAGAGGGCAGGAGGGAGGCTGTCGACGGCCAGGACAGGGCTACTGAGCCTGGGCCAGTTGTGGAAAGGAGTGTGGATATCCATGGTGTTTAGCCGATCAGAAGGCAGGCATCACTGTGGCTCAGTGATGAAGCAGAATCCTCCAGTGAGGGGCTGGGGTGTGGCTCAGTGGTAGAGCCCCTGCCTAGAATCCCCCAGTGAGGGGCTGGGGTGTGGCTCAGTGGTAGAGCCCCTGCCTAGAATCCCCCAGTGAGGGGCTGGGGTGTGGCTCAGTGCTAGAGCCCCTGCCTAGAATCCCCCAGTGAGGGGCTGGGTTGTGGCTCAGTGGTGGAGCCCCTGCCTAGAATCCCCCAGTGAGGGGCTGGGGTGTGGCTCAGTGGTAGAGCCCCTGCCTAGAATCCCCCAGTGAGGGGCTGGGGTGTGACTCAGCTGTAGAGCCCCTGCCTGGAATCCCCCAGTGAGGGGCTGGGGTGTGGCTCAGTGGTAGAGACCCTGCCTAGAATCCTCCATTGAGGGGCTGGGGTTGTGGCTCAGTGGTAGAGCCCCTGCCTAGAATCCCCCAGTGAGGGGCTGGGGTGTGGCTCAGTGGTAGATCCCCTGACTAGAATCCCCCAGTGAGGGGCTGGGGTGTGGCTCAGTGGTAGAGCACCTGCCTAGAATCCCCCAGTGAGGGGCTGGGGTGTGGCTCAGTGGTAGAGACCCTGCCTAGAATCCTCCATTGAGGGGCTGGGGTGTGGCTCAGTGGTAGAGCACCTGCCTAGAATCCCCCAGTGAGGGGCTGGGGTGTGGCTCAGTGGTAGAGCACCTGCCTAGAATCCCCCAGTGAGGGGCTGGGGTGTGGCTCAGTGGTAGAGCCCCTGTCTAGAATCCCCCAGTGAGGGGCTGGGGTGTGGCTCAGTGGTAGAGCACCTGCCTAGAATCCCCCAGTGAGGGGCTGGGGTGTGGCTCAGTGGTAGAGACCCTGTCTAGCATGCAGTGGGTTCTGAGTTTCATTCTGAGAACCAGAAAACAAAACTAAATACAATGCAAGTATGGTTCTTCCCTTTCCCCTGTGGTCTTCTGTCCCTCAGGTTTTTCCTGATGTATTTGATAAATAAGGATGAGACGGAGCACACGGGTCAGGTAAGGAATGTTAATGAGGGGTGAGTGGGGACATGGCTGACAGAAAGCCATTCCAGCAGGCTGTACTCGAGTTCCACCCTGAGTGTACTCAATAAATTAGTCTTCGAGACGACAGTCAGCAGGCAGCAGAAGCCTCGGAGACCTGACCAAAGGACTCTTGTCCCCTCAATCCTAGGAGTCGTATGTCTGGAAGATGTACCAGGAAAGGTGCTGGGATTTCTTCCCTGCTGGAGACTGTTTCCGCAAGCAGTATGAGGACCAGCTCAGCTGAGGTCTGCAGCTGGCCCTCTCCCACCTCAAGTGCCTTATTCCCACTGCAAGCTCCTGGCCAGGCTGCGGGCACAGGTGATGCTGAACGAGACAAATAAAGCCTATGCTACACCCCAGCAATCAATGTGTTGGATCATTTAAATTCGAGGGGACTGGGCACCCAAAAATCACCCCCATGAAAAGCAAGATGACAACAGTCTGCAGTCATGTTTATTATAAGGACATGCTGTGACCACTAGTGTGTCTGTTAGGAATCTGCAGAGGTCCGTTAGTCATGGCATGCCTTCTCAGATGGTCATTCCTGGATGTAGAGGTTGCTAGGGGCGGTGGGGTCATCCGAGGGCCGTGTCTCCACCACAACAGGTCTAAAGAAGAGAGAGGTCAAGTCATTCTCTAATTCATTCCCAAAGTAATTGCCAGAAACTGCCATTCCAATGCTGGGCTGTGATGGTGACAGCATGGTGGGACATGCCTATGATCCCCAGAACCAGGAGGCTGAGGCGGAAAGATCTGGAGTTACATAAGGAGTGTGAAGAGGGCTGGTGAGAGGGCTCAGGAAGCAAAGGTGCCTCCACCAAACTTAATGGCCTGAGTTTAGTCCCTGGAACCCACATGGGAGAAGGAGAGAATGGCCTCCCAAAGATGCCCTCCCCCCAGTGTGACAAGAGAGAAGGAAGAATTGAGAACAGCTGGGGCTACATGGTGGGACACTCGCCCTGGGAGCTCAGAGAAGCATGGAGCTTCCACCCCAGGATGTCGGCCAAGGCTGCCAAGAATGGTGGAGCCGGAGCCTTGGGAGGGAACTTAGTAATAGAGTACAGGAGGCTGTTCTAGACCAAGGAAGAACCAGCCGTTCCACCCCAGCAGCCCCTCCTACGCCTTTGTCCATCTCCCCACCGCCATACCTGGGGGAGCCGAGCAGACGGAAGGTGAGGGAGGGGTCTCTCAGCTCCTGCAGCAGCTGTGGAGAGAGCATGGATGTATCTGCAGGATGTCCCCTCTCTACACAGATGGCTTCCTACGGAGAAGTCTAACCCCACAGCCACTTGCTAAGTTGTGTGGCTTTGAGCAAATGGCTTCACTGCCCTGCATCCGAAACCACTAACTTGAGTGCCCTGTCTGATAGGCAGCTGTACAGAGTCGATCAAAGGGCCTGGGAAGCCAACAAGGTACTTTTAGCCTTCTGACTTCCCACTTCCAGTGGGAGTGTCTGTTCTGGGACCCAGGGCTTCTCCAAGCCCATTTAAAGGATGAGAAGACTGAGGAGAGGGCAAGGCAGTGGTGTGAACTGAAGGGGTGGGCCTACCTGTTCCGAGCCTGGAGCCCACACCTGAACTCCATGCTTCCAGAAGGCCTGGAGCCGGTCTCCCACCATAGCTGGAGAGAAATCAGTTGTCTGTGACCCTTAAGGTCACAGAACTCTCACCCCTGACCCCGAGGCCCTCTCCTCCCAGCACATACCCACAGCCTCCACGGCTTCCGTCATGGGAATCTCAGGGGTGCGAAGCCCGGGAGCTGGGGCCCCCTCTGGGGTCACTAGCTTCAGAGAGCCTGGGAGGAAGTGGTGGGAGGGATTTGAACACAGTCCTGGGCTGAGGACCAGAAAGGGGAGGGAGAAAGCACTCACCGTCCATCAACACCATCACCATGTCTTCATTAACTTGGGTCACCTGCACTGGTCCCTTGTGCTCTGTGTGAGAGGCAGGGGCTTCAACTAGCGCCCCTCAGGTCCCTGCCTGCCACACAGGCCCACCCTGTTATCCATCTGACCCCAGTCCATCTCTTTCTCAGTATTGGCTCAGGCTTAGCCCAGTCACTCTGACCCTCCCCTCCACAAGGAATAAACTGCCTCTCCCCTGGCAGCCTTAACCTGTTGTCCCATCCTTCGACCCAGCCACTTCCCACAGTCCAGTCCGCTCCCGCAACCATGCCTCTTTTCTGAAGCCCCGCCCTCTCCCCGCAGCCCCACCCCTTTGCTGCAGTTTGAACTCCGTCTAAGCCCACCTCTTTCATCCCTACAGCCACGCCTTCTCCAGTAGCCCCTCCCTCCCCTGAAACCTTTTCCTCCCTTGAAGCCCCTCCTCTCTCAGATCCTCCTTCTTTTGTAGCCCCTCCCTCCCTTACAGTTCCCGCCCCCTCTGCAGCCCCGCGTCTCTGTGGCACAACTCACTCACCCGTGCTGGAGTCGTCCAGCCAGCAGGACAGGGCACCAAAGCGCACGGTGTGGAAAAGCACCGACTTCGCCGCTTGCCCGGGGCTCACGCCGATGCACACGGCCGGCAGCTCGGAGCCCGGCGCTGTCAGCAACGCGAACACTGGCAGCGGCGTGGGCAGTGGGAACAGCACCTGCTGCAGGCCGCAAGGGGAAGGGCTGCTCAGCTCAGGGAGGCTCTCAGGGAAAACAAAATGTGCTGCGCGCTCTAGCGCTCTCTCTCTCTCTCTCTCTCTCTCTCTCTCTTTCTCTCTCTCTCTCTCTCTCTCTCTCTCTCTCTCTCTCTCTCTCTCTCTCGTTTTTTCTAGACAGGGTTTCTCTGTAGCTTTGGAGCCTGTCCCGGAACTAGCTCTGTAGACCAGGCTGGCCTCGAACTCACAGAGATCCTCTTGCCTCTGCCTCCCAAGTGCTGGGATTAAAGGCCACCATCATCACCCGGCTAGGTGCAGGTCTTATGGATCAGAAATGTTTGTTTGTTTGTTTGTTTGTTTTTTAACAATTTACTTATTTTTATTTTATGTGCATTGGTGTTTTGTCTCCATGTATGTCTGTGTGAGGGTGTAGAATCCCCTGGAACTGGAGTTAGTTACAGACAGTTGTTAGCTGCCGTGTGGGTGCTGGGAATTAAACCAGCTCCTTTGAGCTGGGCAGTGGTGGCGAATGGTGGCAGCACCTTTGCCCCGCAGCCTTACCCGGACAAGCAGGAATTTGTTCATCGGCTGGTACCACTGGAGCAGGACCACAGACGTCTCCAGTGCCCCACACAGGAACGGGCCCCCGGAGCTAGGGCTCTCAGCTGTGGAGCAGACAAGAATGGGTCGGGGTCTGCCTCCTTCCTGGAGCACTCCATCTTTCCCTGGGGCCCTGCACACCTTGCCTCAGCCTTACTGAGTGGATAATGTCCAAGCGCCAACCCTACCCACCCTCCCAGCACCCCCTGAACCTGGCTCTCACCCACACAGCAGGCCCGGCAGCCTTTGGTATCCTGCACCTTAGTGGAGACCATGTTCTTTCTGAAGAAGAAGGAAGTGTGAGTGACCACAAGGACAGCAGGAGGGGCGGGGGAAGCCAGTGGTGCCCTTTGGGGCTGGTACCTTGCCAGTAACCGGTGGGGGCTAATGTGAGCGATGGGGCTTCCTGTTCGGATCTCTTTCCTCTCCAGCAGGCCCAGGATGCTATGAGAATATAGGTGGGGGGTCTTCCCTGCAGTGTGTGTATGGGAGGGGAGTGGGAAGCGGTTTTAGGACCCCTTACCATCTTGTCTCCCAGCCCTTGGCTAGCCCCAGACCTTTGAAACGCCCCAGCACACAGATCCCACTTTCCTCCCACACATTCCTACCCTTCCCGTCTGAAGGGACCAGGGTGACCAGGCACTGTGGGTACTGGGGGTGGGGGTGACCAGGCCCTATGATCTGCTGGGGGGTGTGACCAGGCACTGTGGGTGCTCTGCTGGGGGAGGGAGGACAGAGCAGCAGGACAGGCTCTCTGCCCGCACAGCACAGCAGCACACAGGTGAGGGAAGTTTAACTAGCCTGGGAAGTTGCACTTGGGGTTTATTTATTTATTGCTAGTGCTTGTTTCTCAAAACAGGGTCTCATGTGGTCCAGGCTGGCCTCTGACACCCCACGTAGCTGAGACTGGCCTTGAATTCCCATTCTCCTGGCTCAGTCCTGAGTGCTGGGGTTACAGATGGGTGCCACCACACCTGGTACACAGGTCAAAGTTTAACAAAACAAACAAACAAACAGCAACAAAAACCTACCTATGCTGGGAGTGGTGGCACTTGCTTGTAATCTCAGGACTCGGGAGGCTGAGGCCAGGGAAACACCCCAAGTTCAAGGCTAGCCTGGGTTACACAGTGGGGATTCTGTCTCAGAGAGCACAGGGGGAGGATGCCGCTGGACACACAGCTCAGTGCTGGACACACAGCTCAGTGGTAGCACATTCGTAAGCAGACACCTGCCCCGTTATCAAAAACCAAACAGCAAAAAGTCCTGGAACTTCTTCAGTCTGCGTTACGGACTTGAAGCGGGAGTAAATCCTGCCTTTCAGACCTCCTGCCCTATCTCTTCTGCTCTGTATTAAAGAGTGCACCAGCTACACCCAGAGATGGCCAGTGTACCCAGGTATTTAAAGACAAATTTATTGTAAAAATGAACTCACAACCAACTTGAGGGGGGAGATTTCAGAGATATGGAAAAGTCTGAGATTGTATAGATATAAAAAGCAAGGCTCAGGGAGAGCAGCCCCGTGCCTTCCGCTCACCCAGGAGGAAAGTGGTGATTTAAACCCTCAGGCTCAATGAAGCTCAAGACTCATCCACATGTTATCCCCCCCAACCTTAGCTCCTAGCCCCTGCCCCTCCCCCAGCCCATAGGCTGACCTGAGAGAGACATGAGGAGGTTGTTGATGCAATACACCCAGGTTGTCCGGCCAGGGAAGAGCTGCAGAGAATAGGGGTGACTCCTGTGATTACCAGTCAATCCTATGCCACTCCGCCCCCCTTCCAGCACTGTCCCCATCCCTCACCATCTCCAGCGTGGCCTCCTGATCATTCCGGTTCAGTATGAAAATGCCTTCCTCTGCACCCAGGAGCAGGTGCTGGTCTGAGTGGGCCAGACAAAGTGGTTGCTGGGGTCTCTCATTGTGGAGGAAGAACCTCCCAGATCTTTGTCCCAAACTGGCCCTCTACCCCACCCCACCCCCTTTCATACTAATTCTCCCTCAGACTGACATCCGCAGTTTGTCTCTCCTCAAGTCTGAACTGAAACCCTGCTCAGTCCCCCAAGCAGCCCCCATGTCCCCGCTCTGTGATTTGCCAGTGTCTGGCAGTTCTTTATCCCTGACCGGCCAACTCACACTTGCTTCCCCAGCAGCAGCTCTCTAAGCCCCGCCCCTTCTTCCCCAGCACTCTGCTCCAACTGCTATGCCTGTCAGTGGGCTGGCTGTGACTCTGGACCCCCAATATGGCCTTTTCTACTCAGTGAAACTGCTCAGTCCTGGTGCCTGTATCTCATTTTAAAAAATTATTTTTTTATTCTATGTGTATGAGTGTTTGTCTACATGTGTGTTTGTGTACCATGTGCATGCAATGCCTGCAGAGGCCAGAGAGGGTGGCAGCTCCCTGGAACTAGAGTTAGAGAAGACTATGATCCACCCTGTGGGAGCTGGGAACTGAATCTGGGTCATCTGAAAAAGCAGCTGGTGCTCTTAACTGCTGAGTCACCTCCCAAGCCTGTCTCTTCTTTTAAGAGATCTGGTCACAAGAGTTCCACTGGCCCTTGACCTCCCTATGAAACCAAAGTTGACCTTAAACTCCTGATCCTCTGGCCTCTACCTCCTAAGAGCTGGGTTACCAGTGTGCTTTACACTTCTCTGCTGTTTGTTTTTAAGAAGGCTCTTGCCATACAGCCCTGGCTGACCTCAAACCTGTGATGATCCTCCTGCCTTGGCCTCAGGAGTGCTGTGGTTAAAGGGGCACACCTCCATTCCAAGCCTCTTACGTCATTTAATATTGACCTCCCCCCATCTTATCCCCCATATGTCATCTCCAGACTGTCCTCTTCCACTGCAGTCAAACCTGTGACCCTCCCCCCCCCCCCACACACACACCAAGCTGATCACAGTCTGCCATCAACAATACCTCCATCAGCAGGGCGGTGGTGGTGCACGCCTTTAATCCCAGCACTCGGGAGGCAGAGGCAGGTAGATCTCTGTGAGTTCAAGGCCAGCCTGGTCTACAAGAGCTAGTTCCAGGACAGGAACCAAAAGCTACGGAGAAACCCTGTCTCGAAAATAAAAACAAACAAACAAACAAAAAAAATACCTCCATCATGGACCCCTGACTCTAGACTGTCTTATTCAGATACCCCTGGTCTCTAAACTCCACCTTCTCCAGCGTTCATCTCTGACGTCATCCTTTCACTTCCCCTCATGAATCTCCAGATCTGACAGTGACCACGGCATCTGCACCAGGTCTGACTTAGCCAACATCACTCCATTAAGACCCTTCCTTTGGAGCTAAGCACCTACTGCTCCCCAGGGCCTGAGTTTGATTGGTTCCCAGCACCCATACCTGGAGGCTCACAACCACCTGCAACTGCAGGTTCAGGGGCTCTTGCACGCTCTCCTGGGCTCTGCGGACACCCGGGCTTATGTGCACAAACATGTACACAGTATCCACAGATTGATGGCTTCATGGGGAGGAAAAGTCAGTTTTCTTTAAGGGCTAACTACATTCTAGTGGCTGGCCTCACAGTCATGAGTAAAGGGACGACACAAATTAGACTCCATGACTTAAAAAAAAAGGACAGTAAGTTGGGAAGGGATGGAGAATAGGATTGGATCTGGGAGGGGGGGAGTGAAGATGATCAAAATATATTGTATTACATTCTCAAATAATAACATTATATTTTAAAAAGACTCACATTATCTTAAAAATAAAAACCTAAGTCCTAAATAACAAAAAAAGACCCTCCTGGGGCTGGAGAGGTAGCCCAATGGTTAAGAGCACTTGTTGCTCTTGCAGATTGGTTCCCAGCACCCATGTGTTGGTGAACAACCGTCTTTAACTCCAGTTCCAGGGGATACAACGCCCTCTCCTGGTCTCTGCCAACTCTGCATGCACATGGTAGACAAGCATACTTGCAGGTAAAATCACTCATAAGTAAAATTAAAATAAAACTATTCTTCCTGTACCCCTTTGTGATCCCATTAGGGTCCCCTCATCCCCAGCTGCCCCCTTACTCCACGCTCTTTTGGACCTCCAGAGTGCCCACCTTTAGTAGAGGGGTGTGTCCAGGCAGCTGTGCTGTGGATCTGGAGGGGGCAGCCGTTGAATAATTTCACAAGAAGGGCACATCCCTGGATGGCCATGGTCAGAGGGTAGAGCAACAATGAACAGAGGACAGGAAGTTGAGCACAGGGTTCAGATTCTGCCTATCCTCAGAGACCCCCACACTCCCCACCCCATCCCCCATCTGTGTAGGCATGGTCCAAAAACTATTACATGAAAGATTTCAAAGATAAAAAATTCATTTTGGGGCTACAGAGATGGCTCGGGGGTTAAAAACACTGGCTGCTCTTTTAGAGGACCCGGGTTTAATTCCCAGCACCCACATGGCAGTTCACAACTGACTGTACCTCCAGTTCCAGGGGATCTGATACCCCCACCCAGACATACGTGCAGAGAAAACATCAATGTACATAAAATAAATAAATAATTTGCTGGGCAGTGGTGGTGCATGCCTTTGATCTCAGCACTCTGGGGGCAGAACAGGCAGATCTCTGAGTTCAAGGCCAGCCTGGTCTACAGAGTTCCAGGACAGACAGGGCTACACAGAGAAACCCTGTCTTAAAACAAAAACAACAAAACAAAAATTATGTTGTGTTTTAGCTTTTTCTTCATTTTTACATGGGTCTTCTGTAGTCCAGACTGGCCTTCGCTTCTCTATGTAGCCCAGGCTGGCTCTCAACTCCTGACCCTCTTGCTTCTGCTTCCGCAGTGCTGGGTATTACAGATGTGTGCCATTACACCCTGACTCTTCAGTAAACCTTACTGTACCTATCAACGAGTCCCCTTGTTGGTACATATATCAGTGGAAAATACAGGATTGGGTACTAGCCAGTTTGAGGCATCCATGGAGCGTGCGGGCGGGGGGGGGGTGGTTCTTGAAGTGGATCTTCTGTAGATAAGGGGAATGTTTTATGGGTGACCGTGGGTAAACTGCTTACCTCGTGGCGCTTCACTTTCTCCATCTGTGGAACAGAAAACAGCCACCTCTGGGGTCCCTCTCCTCCCATTTTTTTAAACAGAGTCTTCTATGTACCCCATTTGGCCTGGAAGCCCCCCCCCCCACTCGTATCTTTGCACGGCCTGGAGATAGAATGCAAGACTTTGAGCTAGCAGCTGAGCCCTCCTCCTCTGAGCCACACCCCCAGTCCCTCACTGTTGAACTAGACGGGCTCTATAAGGTGAGCTAGGGCCCAGCCATCTACTGCAGAATTCTAGGTAAGCTCTCTTGTGCTGGTCAGGTTGTTTGTTTGGTTTTGGTTTTCATCAACTTGACACAAACTAGAGTTATTTATAAAGAGGGTACCATAACTGGAGCAATTGCTTCTACCCAATTGTGGGATATTTTTGATTACTGATTAATGTGGGAGGGCCCAGCCCATCTTGATGGTGCCACCCTTGGGCAGGTGACCTGGGTTGTATAGAAAAGCAAGCCGAGCAAGCCCTGAGGAGCAAGCCAGAAAGCAGTGTTCCTCCTTGGACTCTGCCCCGACTTCTCTGGATGGTGGACTGTAAAAGTGGAAGTGGAAACCAAACAAAGCCCTTCCTCCCCAAACTGGTTTGGGTGGGAGTTTTATCAGAGAGATGGGAAGGCTAAACCGCACTCCTAAATTCCGATTCCCAGCACCCTCCTTAAAAAGCTGAGCGTGCCATTGGTAGTAGAGAGGCAAACTCCAGCAACCTATGGGAGCAGATGCAGGGACCCACAGCCAAACACTAGGCGGAGCCAGGGGAACCTTGAAAAAGAGGGGGGAGGAAGGATTGTAGGAGCCAAAGGAGTCAAGGATTCCATGAGAACACAGTCCACAGAATCAATAAGCAGGACTCACAGAAACTGAAGCAACAATCGCAAATCCTGTATGCATCTGAGCGAGATCCTCTGCATATACCTATGGCTGTGTAGCTTAGTGTTCTTGTGGGGGTGTCTCTGACTCTTTTGCCTTTCCTTGGGGCACATTTCCTCCTACTGGGTTGCTTTGTGCAGCCTTGAGATGAGGGGTTTTGCCTAGTCTTATTGTATCCTGTTAGGCGGATACATTGTTTGCTGGATACATTGTTTGCTGGATACATTGTTTGGTGGATACAATGTTTGGTGGATACAATGTTTGGTGGATACAATGTTTGGTGGCTATCCCTGGGAGGCCAGCTCTTTGTCTCTTTTCTTTCTTTCTTTTTTAAGGGAAACAGAAAAGTAGTTGATCTGGGGCCAAGAGGAGGTGGGGGAAAACTGGGAGGAGTGGAAGGAGGGGAAACTGCAGCCGGGATGTAATTAATATATTAGAGAAGAATAAAAGTTTAAAAAGCTGGGCATAGCTACGCTCCTCCCAGAGACAGGCAGATCCCTGAGGCTTGCTGCCACCAGCCTAGCTCCAACTTTAGTGAGAGACTGTCTTAAAGAAATAAGATGGTGATTGACAGAGCAGGTCACCTGATGTCCTCTGGCTTCCGTGTGCGCATCCACCCATGTGCCCACGTGCCTGAGCATCCACCCCCTTGCCTGTGTTGTGGAATAGTCTTTTTGTACACCGTGAAGATGAGTTGTTCTCATTGGTTTAATAAAAAGCTAAAATGCCAAAAGCTAGGCAGGAAGAGGTTAGGTGGGACTTGCAGACAGGGAGAGAGCTCTGGGATGAAGAAGGGCAGAATCGCCAGCTGACTTGAGGAGAAGCAAGATGATAAAATGAACAGGCCATGTTGAAGAAAGGTACCAAGCCATGTGGTAGAATGTCAATAAGAAATATGAGTTAATTTAAGTTGTAAGAGCTAATTAGTAACAAACCTAAGTTATCGACTGAGCATTTATAATTAATAATAAGTATATATGTGGTTATTTGGAAGCTGTCTGGCAAGACAGAAAACTATGCCCATACACCTGTGCGTCCACCCACATATCTGTGCATCCACCCACATGCCTGAGCATCCACCCACATGCCTGAGCGTCCACCCACATGCCTGAGTGTCCACCCACATCCTTGTGCATCCACTCACATGCCTGAGCGTCCACCCACATGCCTGAGCGTCCACCCACATGCCTGAGCGTCTACCCACATTCCTGAGCGTCCACCCACATGCCTGAGCGTCCACCCACACATTTGTGCATCCACCCACAGGCCCATGCATCCACCCATCCACAGGCACAGACACACATCCTATAGTCAGTGTTTGACACAAAGGAAGGACCATCTCCCACTGGGCCGCCCCAGCCCATCCTGAGCCTGTAGCTAGCTCTCACCTTTCTCCTCATCTTTTCCTTCTTAGGGGGTAGGAGTGGGGGCTGGCCTGGCTCTGGAGCAGGTGGGTTCCATAGTGAGGGATCTGATAGGGGTTTAAGCAAGATCAGGCCGAGAGACTTCCAACCCTACCTATCTTCCTCCCCAGGGAGGGCCTGGTACCTGAGTGGGCTGTAAGATGGGGGTTGCGAGTGGCTGGGGGAGGCCCAGGACGGGGAGTACGTGGAGGAGGCCCACTGGCACACCGGACCAGAACCCCTGGGCTCAGTTGTCCGTCGTCTCCTACCCCTCCAGAACCGTCATCAGAAGGAGACCGGAACTTGGGCTATGGAGACAGGAGTGTGGAGGAAGTAGACACGTGAGAGGTTCCAGAAGAAATACACCTCGTGCCCCAATGCCCGCCTCTTCCAGGATCAAGAGTCAGCCATAGCTATGCATGCCCTGTGACATCCCAACTTGTCCTCGTGGGAAGGAATGTCAGATACACCAGAACACAAAGGGTTAATGCTCGGCACTAGGTCAGCTCCTTGACAGATCCCACAGGACCCATCACTCCAGACTCCCAGACAGCCAGCCTTGCTTTAAACAAACACATTTTTGTTTTGGGACATTGTCTCACTATGTCACTGTGTAGCTCAGGCTGGTCTTGAACTTGCTACATACCTAAGGATGCTCTTGACCTCTTGCTCTTCCTGCCTCCACCCCGAGTGCAGCACCACACCCAGCTTCAGCTGTGTTTCTACACATCTATCCTGTACCCCAAAGGCTTAAGCTTTCTGCAATGTTCAGACATCTCTGCCTTCACACTTGAAATATTTCGCTTTGTTTTGCTTTGTTGTGTTTTGAGACAGGGTTTCTCTGTGTAGTCCTGACTGTTCTGGAACTTACTCTGTAGACCAGGCTGGCTTGAACTCACAGAGATCTGCCTGTCTCTGCCTTTCAAGTACTGGGATTAGAGGCGTGCACCATCACACCCAGCCAAACTGTAGACATTGAAAGTGCAGGGCTTGACCTCAGGATCCCCAGGGCCTTACCTTCGGGGGCAGTGGAGGAGGCACGTCCTCTGCTGGGGCAGGGCTGGAACACAAAGATAGAAAAAGCAGTATAGGGGCTGGAGAGATGGCTTAGTGGTTAAGAGCATTACCTGCTCTTCCAAAGGTCCTGAGTTCAATTCCCAGCAACCACATGGTGGCTCACAACCATCTGTAATAAGGTCTGGTGCCCTCTTCTGGCCTGCAGGCATATACACAGATAGACTATTGTATATATAACAAATCAATAAATAAATATTTAAAAAAAAAAAAGAAAAAGAAAAAGCAGTATAGGTGCGAGGGACAAGATGGGGTGTTTCAAGCTGGTGCCCTGGGACTGAGGGATGGTGGAGCAGGGGTAACCAGGAGTGACTGGAGCCAAGGACTCCATGGCTGACAGTCATGGCCACATCAGCAGTAGCAGCTCTGGGCTGTTACGTGGTCCACAAGAAGACACGAGGGCTGGCTCCATTCCTCACCCCGCCCCCGCCCCGCATGCCAGTGCACAGAAGGTGGGGAATGAATAGGGAGAAGGCTCAAGACTGTCCCCTAGCCAGGGCAGGGAGAACATGGGGGCTCAACATGACTGCTTGGGGTGCAGGGCGAGGCCTGGGACTTAAAGCCTGATGTGGGAAATTTCCGTGGGTCAAGATTTAGTTTGAGGGCCGGGCGGTGGTGGCGCACGCCTTTAATCCCAGCACTCGGGAGGCAGAGGCAGGCGGATCTCTGTGAGTTCGAGACCAGCCTGGTCTACAAGAGCCTAGTTCCAGGACAGGCTCTAAAACCACAGAGAAACCCTGTCTCGAAAAACCAAAAAAAAAAAAAAAAAAAAAAAAAAAAAAAAAGATTTAGTTTGAGGTTGGGTCTCCGGTCACAAGCCTGTAATCCCACCTACATAGAAAGCAGAGGCAGGAGGATTGAGAGTTCAAGACCAGCTTGGGCTACAGACTGAAGCTGGCTGAGACAATGACAAGAGATGGGGGAGAAGAGTGGGGTCCAAGCTTAAGTTGGCGGGTAGGCGGGTAGGCTGGTAGGCTGCGGGATGTGAGTCTGAGGTGGACGAGCAACAGGAGGGTCAGGCCCAGGCCTGAGGGCAGCTCAGAGCCAAAGATGGCTGGGGATTAGATACAAAGTTGTAGAAAGTAGAGTAGAAGGAGCAGGCCTGGTTGGGCAGGTAATACCAGTTCCTTAGAGAGTGGAGGCAATAGGATTGCCTGAGCTACAGATGAATTTACTTCCAGTCTGGGCAATCTAATGTTACTCTGTATCAAATACGAAAGCAGAAGAAGTTCGGCATGCCTTTAATCTATGAGTTTGAGGCCAGCCTATTCTAAAGATGTAGCCGGGGATACATAGTAAGATTCTGTCTCAATTTGTTTTCTGGTTTTGTTTTGTTTTGTTTTCTTGAGACAGGTTTCTCTGTGTAACCCTGGCTGTCCCGGAACTCACTATGTAGACCAGGCTAGCCTCAAACTCAGAGATTGGCCTGCCTCTGCCTCCTGGGTGCTGGCATTAAAGGTATATGCCACCACTTACAAGATTCAAAAAAATAAATTTTATTTAATTAAAAATTAAAACAAAGTTGGGCGGTGGTGGCACACACTTTAATCCCAGCACTCGGGAGGCAGAGGCAGGCGGATCTCTGTGAATTTGAGGCCAGCCTGGTCTACAAGAGCTAGTTCCAGAACAGGCTCCAAAGCTGCAGAGAAACCCTGTCTCAAAAAACAAAAAAACAAAACAAAACAAAAACAAAAAAATTAAAACGAGGGGCTGGGGAGACAGGTCAGTGGTTAAGAGCACTTGTTATTCTTTCCGAGAACCTGGGTTTGGTTCCTAGCTCCCACAAAAGCAGCTCACAACAGCCTGAAACCCCAGTTCCGGGGACCCAATGGCATCATGGGTACCAGGAGTATATGTGTCCAAACAGGCAAAACACTGATACGCATAGAACAAATTTTAAAAATATGTTTTAAAGCTGGGTAGTGGCACACAACTTTAATCCCAGCACTCAGGAGCAGAGGCAGGTGGATCTCTGTACATTCTAAGCCAGCCTGGTCTACAGAGTGAATTCCAGGAAAGCTAGGGCTATACAGAGAAACCCTATCTCAGAAACAAAAACAAAAATATTTCAAGTCCAAATGGATCAAAGCCCTCAACATAAAGCCACACTGAACCTTATAGAAGAGAAAGTGGGAAGTACACTTGAACGCATTGGCACAGGGAACCACTTCCTAAATATAACTTCAGCAGCACAGACACTGAGAGAAACAATTAATAAATGGGACCTCCTGAAACTGAAAAGCTTCTTTCTGTAAAGCAAAGGGCATGGTCAACAAGACAAAACGACAGCCTACAGAATGGGAAAAGATCTCCACTAATTCCACATCAGACTGAGGTCTGATCTCCAAAATATACAAAGAACTCAAGTATTTGGACACCAAAAGATCACATAATCCAATAAAAAAAAAAATGGAGTACAGACCTAAACAGAGAACTCTCAACAGAGGAATCTAAAATGGCTGAAAGACACTTAAGGAAATCCTTAGTCATCAGAGAAATGCAAATCAAAACAACTCTGAGATTCCATCTTACACCTGTAAGAATGGCCAAGATCAAAAACACTGATGACAACTTATGCTGGAGAGGTTGTGGGGAAAAGGGAACACTTCTGCATCGCTGGTGGGAACGCAAGCTGGTACAACCCCTTTTGGATGTCAGTGTGGCGATTTCTCAGAAAATTAGGAAACAACCTTCAAGACCCAGTAATACCACAGTGGAGGGCTGGGGCATGGCTCAATGACAGAGAGCTTGTATATGAGAAAGTTTAAGGTCACTCTGCCGTAGGAAGTGAGAGTCTGGGGAAGAAGGAATGGGAGATCTAGGGGTCAAAGGTGAAAGCAGAGGGTCCAGTGGATTGGAGAGGAGGAGGGAAGGTAAGAGCTGCTGAGGTCATCAGAGCTCCAGCCATGGGGTCTTACATGTCCACGTCATCATAGTCGTCATCAGACTCTGACAGCTGGCTCCTGAAGAACGACAGGCATGAGCTACAGGTGGCTCCCACTTAACCCACCGCCCCCCTCCAGCCCAGGGGAGGGGTGGTGGACCTGGGGCTGGTGCTCCGGCAGTCTCCAGGGGCCTGTAAGCAAACCTGTGGGACCAGGAAAGAGTCAGTATGGCCCAGGGCAGAAGGGGAAGAGGGGCGCAGCTGGGGTGAGCATAGAGGGTCTCACAGTGTCAGCTGAAGGCCTGGCTTCCACTCCTCTGAGCCTCTGGAACTCCATGTGCCGCCCTGAGAAGTGGGGGTGAGACAAGTAAGTGGGGGTGGGGCAGGGAGATGGGCTGAGAAAGAATGGGGGGGGGGCCTGGAGCCAGGACTTTAAGGGTGGTTACTGTTCCTTGTGGGAGGGGCCCTTGATACAGGGGTCCTACTTGGGGGTCCAAGAGTGGCATCAGAGGGCTCAAGGGGCTCAAAGCAGGTGCGGGATGTTTGTTTTCAGACTTAGGTATTAGGGGTTCTGACAGGTTGCTTTTTTTTTTTTAATTTATTTATTTATTAAGGATTTCTGCCTCCTCCCTGCCACCGCCTCCCATTTCCCTCCCCCTCCCCAGATCAAGTCCCCCTTCCTCATCTGACAGGTTGCTTTTAATTTATGAAAAATTGCGTGTATTTATTTGTTTTGTGAGAGCGAGAGGCACACACATCAGAGGACAGCTTGCAGAAGTTGGTTCTATCCTTCCACGCATGGGTTTGGGTCATCAGGCTTAGCCGTGAGCACCTCCACCCACTGAGCCATCTCGCCGGGCCCCCCTACTTATTTTTAAGACAAGATCTCATGCAGTCCTGGCCTCCAACTCATTACACATTCAAATATGTCCAGGAAGTTCTTATCCTCCTGCCTCCACTTTCCAAGGAAGCACAGCTAAATTTCATCTTACCAAGTTTAGTCAATGCTGGAGCTGGACCCAGGGCCTCGTGGGTTTACATAAGGCAAGTACTCTACCAATTAAGATACAAGGTCTTTGTTTTTGTGTTTTGGTTTTGTTTCGTTTCATGTTTTGTTTTTGATCTTTGGGTATTTTATTTTGTTTTGTTCTAGCTTTTTTCTTTTTCTTTTTTTATCTTTTTCTTTTTTCTTTTTTTTTTATTCTTTTTTTCTATTCATTGTTTTGTTTTGAGATAAGGTCCCATTGTGAGCCCCCGGCCTGGAACTCACCACATAGACCAGACAGCTTGAACTCACAGGGATCGTCCAGAGGGCTGGGATTTGAGGTTGCACTACCGTGCCTTTACATAGATTCTCAACGTATCTTTGGGGTCAGAGCTGGGAGGTCTCACGGGACTGAGGGGAGGGGACTCTGTGTCAGTTTGAAGGTTACAGGGCCAAAAGTGTCTTGGAATTTGAGCCCCAATGGTCAGAGAGTGGGTTCAGTGGCCCCAAATTGTAGGGTTCTCTACTCACGACAGCAGTCTGTGTCTGGAACCCCCAGTGAGCTGGCCCGGTGGGTAGATCTGATCCGCCGAGGGATAGCAGGGGGTGGCTGGACAGAAAGGTAGCTGTGTCAGGGCCCAAGGCCTCTGGCGCTCTGCCGCCACCCTCTCTTGTAAATGTTTGTATCCAGCCCTGCCAGGCTTCCCTTCCTCGTGAAATCTTCCTTCTCCTACAGGCTTCCAGAGGGCTCCCCAGTGGGAGGAGCAACCCGTGAAAAGGCCCTCAGGTCTCCATGGCAGCATCTACCAAGGCCCTCACCTCAGGCTCCTCGTCGTCAATCTCACCAATAGGTGGCCCCTTCCCGGGATTCTTCATTTTGTCAAGAAGATCCAAGATCAAGCCTCTGTTCAACCCTGGCTGGCACACCAGCTGATGCTGTGAGAGGGGACAGGGGTTAGAGGGCTGGCATGGCAGGGGAAGGTGGGGACGTGGGCATGCTGTAAGAGACTGCTTGGAGGGAGGTACCCGCTGAGGAAGAAGGAAAGGGAAGCTAGGAGCCTTAAAAGGTTAGAAGAATTTAGGGTTCCGAGAAGGGGAGAGGGGAATTCCAGGGTATCCTAGAAGTGACCAGGCTTGGTGAAGACTCTCAGGCACAAGTCTGGACTTGGCATATTCCAGCAACTCAGGAGAACTTGGAGAGATCTGGGGTAAAGCCAGACATGGTGGCTACGGCTGTAAGCCCAGCCCTTGGGAGGTGGAGGCTGGAGGACCAGGAGTCCAAAGTCAGTTTTGGTTGTATAGCAAATTTGAGGCTAGCCTGGGCTACACAAAACAAATAAATGAAAACAAAAGAAAAAGGCACACACAACAACAACAGCAACAACAACAACAACCAAACAGAAAAGAAATATCTGGGTATTAATTTGGTTTGAGTTTTATTTTTTGAGACAGGATCTCATTTAACCCAGGATAGCTTCAAACTCTCTACATAACCAAAGATGGCCTTGAATTTCTGATCCTCCTACCTCTACCTTCTTAGTGCTGAGACTGCAAGCTTGTGCCCCCAGGCCTGGGTCCTGGGGAACAGTTTGAAGGGTCCTGTGGGGAGAGTTCTGGGAAATGTTGAGGGATGGGTTTTTAAGGGGCCGCCAGGGCTTCATGTGCTCTTGTGAGCCATGGGAGACTTGGATAGTCCTGGGCTGAGGAGGAGATGCGGGGGTCCTTGAGGGAGGCTGGCTTACACTGAGCATCTTGGCAGCACCAGGGCGTTTCTTGGGGTTCTTAGTGAGGGTGACTTTGACAAAGTTGTGGAAGGCCGACGACCTTGGGAGGAAGAAGGCAGATCTGGGATGAGGGGCTCAGAGCTCTTCTCTTCACCCCATCTACTCCTCCTCTGCCCTCCCTCGGCTCACTTCCCTTACCATTTGCCTTTTTCTTTTAGCCGAGGAGGCTGGTAGCCACTCTTTGTCATGAGGAAGAGAACCCTAGAGCCGTAGGGAAGAACAGGGGTTCAGGTCCATGGGACGAGACAGATCTCATGGCTTCAGAAGTTCCCACATGGAAATAAAACAGGGGAGGTGACTCAGATGGTAAGAACACTTGCTATGCAAGTCTCAGGATCTGAGTTCAAATCCCCAGGTCCTCTGTAAGAAGTAGGCATGCCTGTATCTCTAGTGTGTTCAAGTTCCAGGACACACAGAGCGGAAGCAGCAAATGAATGCATGTAAATTGCCCTTTGACCTCCAGATACGTGTAAATAAACTGGGTGTGATGGTGATCGTGTAACCCCAGTGCTGGGAGGTAGACAGGTGGAGCTCTGTGGCTGGGACCAGGCTAGCCGAATCTTCCAGCGCCAGGCCCATAAGAGACCTTGTCAGGACAAACCAAAGAGTGGGCGGTGCCCAAAGAACAAGGCAGAGGCTGTCCTCTGGCCTCCACACACATGCTTACAGACATGGGCACGTACACAAGAAGGAAATACAGTTCTGGCTTTAATTTCAATGGCCACACCCATTTTTTTTTACTGGTGATTTTAGATAGGATTTTGTTACGTAGCTCAGGCTAGCCTCAAACTCGTGACCTCCTGCCTCAGCTGCCTGAGTGCTGGCATCACAGGGTGGCCACGTCTGGCTGTGAAGTCACTTCTAAGAGAAATTGTTTATGGGGTTTTAGAAAATTGGAAGCTTCCGCCCATCCAGAAGGAGTCTCCAGGTGGGGATGTCTATTAGCTGGGCAGGGAGGGCCATACCTGCAGTGCCAGCAGCTGGGAGGCTAAGGCAGGAGGATCAGAATTCAAGGCCAGCCTGGGCTACGTAGGGAGACTGGGAGTCCCTGTCTCAACAACAAATAAATAAAAGATGATAGACATTCACAGAGAGAGGCTGGGGCAAGAGGATCTGGAATGTAGGCTATCCTCAGCTACGTAGAAAATTGGAGGCCATCCAGGGCTACACGAGCAACAATGTCTCTAAACACCCTGCTCCCACAAAAAGGTGGGGACCACTAAACTGGAGGTCTTGCTGTGGAAAGCTGAGAAAAGGTTTCTGTGATCGGAGAGCTACAGGGGTCTCCCTAGAGGCATCCGATCTGAGGTGAGGACACAGGCCGAAGGGTAGTTGCAGGGTCAGGCCTCAGCATGGTCTGTTGTCCAAGGGCACCCACCACCCCAGCCTTTACCTGAGAGGGTGCACGTCAAAGAGAGGTGGCTGAAGCTCAGCCAGTTCGATGGCCGTAATGCCCAGAGACCAGATGTCACACAGTTCATTGTATCCACCCTTCAGGGCCACAGCTGCCACCTCTGGCGCCATCCTGCAGGCAGAGACCCTCAGAGAGCAAGGAGTGGCCCAGGGACAGGAGAGAGGTAGGGGAGCCAGGGGACAGGGACACCAAGACAAAGTGGCCAAAGGAGGAGGAATAGGGGAGTGTGGGGACACTTGGGATCTGCTAGTACCCTGGAGGCTAAAGCAGGAAAGCTGCAGCGAGTGCGAGGACAGCCTGGGCTCCAGGGGGAGAGAGGGAGCCTGGGAGTATGGCCTGGTGATAAAGTGATGGTATCGAAACCTAGCTGCAGTCCATAAGAGAAATTAAAATCAAGGAGATCTACAATCTAGAGAGACAGAAACAGAGAGACAGAGAGAGCCACAGGCTGAGCAAACACAGAAGTAGACAGACTTGGGGAGAGATAGGGATCGAGGTAAAAAACCAAGCTAAGCTGGGTGTGGTGGTGGTGGTGCCTGTAATCCTAAAACTGTCGGAACTGGAGCCTGGAGAATCAGGAGTTCAAGGCCAGCCTGAGCTAGAGGAGAACTCGTGACAACAAACAACACACACACCCAACAACCCATACCACTGAAATCCTAAATGCTAAGAGAAACAGGCAGAAAGGGCCAGAAAGAGACACAGATAAATAGAAAACTCAAAAGGTAGTCTAAGAAAGGGGAAGGGTGTTTAGTAGGAGAAGGCAGAGTCAGGACGTCCTAAGGAGCCAAAATGGTAAATGCCACTGTTCCCACCCCAGCTGTTGACCCAGCACCCCTCACCAGTATGGTGTCCCAATGAAAGAGAGGCGTCGGGCCAAGGTTGCCCCAATCTGGGCTGAGATGCCAAAGTCAGCTGGAGGCAGAGATAGAAATAGTATGTATCTAGCCCATTCCCTCCCCAACCTCCATCAGCTCCCTGTGTACCCCTGGAGTCCACTCACCCAGCTTGACCTCCCCGGAGTCATTGATGAGGATGTTGGCTCCCTGGGGACCAGAGGAGGGATCAGAAGCTGTCAGAGAACACCCTTCCCACACCTGTGACTCCACGCTAAAGCTCAAAACTACCATGAGACTTGGGCGGACCCATGACCCACCCTCAGTGGCACCCTGGTCCCCAGTCTACCTTGATGTCTCGGTGTATCTTCTTCTGTGAGTGCAGGTAGGCCAGACCCTGGGGAGAGATGGGAACAATAGACTGGTGAGCCCCTTTTGCCTGTGCAGGGCCCTGCTCACCTTGGGAGCCCTTGGCCCCTTCTCACCTGGAGCACTTCCCGGCACACATAGCTGATCTGGAGCTCGGAGAGAGAGCCAGTCACTGCAAAAGTCATCCAGGTTGTTGGGAGAGGAGCCAGGACCCCTGGCTCTCTGGGTTCCCTAGCCTTCCTCCACCCATGCCATCAGACAGGATGCACAAAGACAAGGGGACCTTAGATGGGACAACTGGAAAGGGGAGGTGAAGGATTGTGGCTGACTGGAAGATGATGAGCCAAGCATGGTTACTATTAACTGTAATTCTATTACTTGGAAGGCTGAGGCAGGAGGGTTGCCCTGAGTTTGAGGTTAGCCTGGGATATATACAAATATCGACGCTAGATGGGTAGTGGCAGCACAAGCCTTTAACTCCAGCACTCGGGAGGCAGAGGCAAGCAGATCTCTGTGAGTTCGAGGCCAGCCTGATCTACAGAGCAAGTTCTAGGACAGCCTGGAATGTTACACAGAAAAACACTATATCGAAAAACCAAATCACAACAACAAAAACAAAACAAATGTCAACACCAATCAGGGTTACATAGAGAGACCTGTTTCCCAAACAACTAAGAACATGTGCATGTGGAGGGGGAGAGAGACAGTCTTCCTCTGGACTACAGCTGCATGTTCTAGTCCAGAGGAAGACAGGACAGTCATTCGGCAATAATCACAACAGTCCTACTCTGTTACAAGCAAGATAATCATCCCAAAAGGCTGATGGTGTGTGACTCAGTGGTAGAGCACCTGCTTAGAATCCCCCAGTGAGGGGCTGGGGTGTGGCTCAGTGGTAGAGCACCTGCCTAGAATCCCCCAGTGAGGGGCTGGGGTGTGGCTCAGTGGTAGAGCACCTGCCTAGAATCCCCCAGTGAGGGGCTGGGGTGTGGCTCAGTGGTAGAGCCCCTGCCTAGAATCCCCCAGTGAGGGGCTGGGGTGTGGCTCAGTGGTAGAATCCCCCAGTAAGGGGCTGGGGGCATGGCTTGGCAATAAAGTCCTTGCTTAGAACATGAAAGTCCCTGGGTTCCATTACTTGAACATGCACCCACAAATACACACAAAAGATAAAATCCCTACTCTCGTGGAGAGAACACGCCAAGAGAAATAAAATATAGGATGGTAATTACAGCCGGACGAATAGCTCAGTGCTGGAGCTCTTGTCTGTTATTTCAAAAACTAATAAATAATAATAAATAAGATTAATAAAAAAATATGATATAAGATGTTAATATGCTAATAATTAGTAAGAAAAAACGGAACCAGAAACAACAACAGGAAATGTATGTGGGAAGGGCTATGACATCTTACTCATGCTGGTCCACAAGGCTACCCTAAGAAGCAGGAGCAGGGATGTGAAAAGAAGAACAAGGGCAGGGGACAGAGGGCAATGGCCAGGGCGATGTGGGCGAGCAGCCTCCCCCATGAGGACAGTGGTATCCTGAGAATCTAGGAAGGGGTGATGTGAGGGTAGGCAACATGAATAAAGGCAGTGATGCAGAGACAGAGCCCGAGGGTCAGAGCAGAGAGAGATGAACAGGGCACCAAGAGCAAGGAGACAAGGGAGACGAGCAGGACTGGGGAAGAGACAGTGAAAGAAAGATGACAGAGGGTGGCGGCAGAAAGTAGGTCCCGCATAATGGCTGGGTAAGTCACCCCTGTCTATGGGCTGCAGTTTCCCATTCTGGGGGAGATTCTGGGTTGCCCAGATAAAACCTGGGACCTTGATCCATCCTGCCAGGCAAGCATTCTACCACAGAGTTCGATGTCTAAGGACCTTTAATAAAGTTTCCCCTTTTTGGACATTTCAGGTGGGCTAGAGGGAGTTAGAGAGACAATGAGACAGAGGTGAGCACCAGAACTTCAGAGAGGGCTGAGGTGTAGGGCCTGGTTGCACAGACCAGTAGTCCTAGCTACTCAAGAGGCTGAGGTACTGAGATCGCAAGTTTAAGACCAACCTGGGCAACTCACTGAGATTCTGTCTCAAAATAATGAGAAAAAAAGAGTGCTGGGAGAATGTCTAGAAGCTGAAGGTGTGTGACAAAAACATATTGTATACACATATAAAAATCTCAAAGAACAGATAAATTAATTTAAAAGAAAAGAGGGTTGGGGATTATAGCTCAGAGTGCTGTCTAACAAACATAGGACTCTAGGTTCAAAACACACTGTGGCAAAAAAAAAAAGTAAGTGTGTGTGTGTGTGTGTGTGTGTGTGTGTGAGAGAGAGAGAGAGAGAAAGAGAGAGAGAGAGAGAGAGTAAGAAAGAGAAAAAGGGAGAAGAGAGAGGGATGAAAGGCCTATCCAACTCCTACTCTCAAAGTTCCCTGAAAGTCAAGCTGCAGGCTAGATCTAGAAATTCATTGACTGATTGCCCAAAAATCTGAGCAATTAATCTGAGATAGAATATGTAGAAACAATTTGGCCGTGGTGGCGGCGCACACCTTTAATCCCGGCACTTGGGAGGCAGAGGCAGGTGGATCTCAGTGAGTCTGAGACCAGCCTGGTCTTCAAAGTGAGTTCCAGGATAGCCAGAACTGTTACACAAAGAAACCCTGTCTCAAAAAAACCAAGAAAAAAAAAAGAAAAGAAAGGAAAGAAAAGAAAATGTAGAAACAGGCCAGGCAGCACATGCCTTGAATCTCAGCACTAGGGAGGCAGAAGTAGGCAGAGCTCTGTGAGTTGGAGGCCAGCCTGGTCTATAGAGTGAGTTTTGGCAAGACAGGACTACATAGTGAGACTCCCATTTCCAAAATAATAACAATAACAATATTACAAATAACAATAACAAATGCTGGAAGAAAAGAAAGAAAATGAAGAAATGCCCTAACCCAAGAATGTTTTGGCAAGAAAATATAGATACCAAAACAAAGAAAAAGACATGGAAGCAGAGGGGATTATTGCCTGGGGAAAAAAAGGCAGGACCCACAGTGCTAGAGGGCTAGGTCATCACAGGGTTCTCATCATCATCCAGCTGGACCCAGGGGAGGGACTCATGGTGGACATGAAGTGTGGACCACAAAGGCGCTACCCAGAATACAAGCTCAAAGAGACCAGAGGGGTGGATTGGAGGTTGAGGGGGGGCCTGGGTCCCCTTGTCCTTCCTCTAACCTTGGTAGATGTCCTGGAGAGAACCAGCCCCACAGAATTCCATGCAGATCCAGAGCTTCTGCAGCCTACAGGGATAACAATGATGGTGACCTCTAGAAGAGGCTGGGGGAGGAGCTTGAGGCCATCTTACTTCCCCTGCCCACCAGAGTGTCCCATTTGTTCCTTCCCGCAAGAAAGGAGGTTGAGGATGGGCCAGGAAATGCACATGCTGGAGCAATGTGACTAGAACTTAGGTCTTTGGGTTCCAATCCTAGGGTACCCCGTGTCATCCCAGGCTGACTTAGGGGAAAGGGCAGAGAGCTCACGGAGAGGTAGACAGGATAAAGAGGCCCAGAGCGCAAGGTCTGAGGAATTGATGTCATCAGCAGGGCAACTGAGACATGATCTTAGGGGCCAAAGAATTTGGGGTTCGTATCAAGGAAGCAGGGTGAAATGGGCGATGTAGGGAGCAGACTGATATTTGATTAGTCCCTAGATTAAGGAGTACTCAGTAAGAAAAGGTGGAATTTCAGACTGGGAATCAGGCTGGGATGCCCCAGTTAAAAGTGGGGGTCCTCAGGTCGGAGGTCAAGTTAGGTTGTCTGGGTCACAGATGGTAGGTTTGGACTGAGGAACTGGTTAAGGATGCTTGATCAGAAATGAGAGGCTGGGGCTGGGGGATGGGCTAAGACATCACCAGAGGTAACTGCCGTGGTAAGCCACGATGTTGGCATGGCGGCAAGTTTTCAACATGAGAATCTCCTTCTGAAGGGTGGACACATCGTCATCTGTGAGGAGAGCAGGAGAGAAGAGTGGCTATGAACAGTGCCTTATGGACATGATCCCTGTCCTGAGAGGTAAGGGGAGGTAGGGGTGGGGAAGAAGTTTCTCGGGACTCTCTCACCAGGCTCCATCTTCACCATCTTCAAAGCCACCAGGTCCTTAGACACCTTGTCACGAGCCTTGTAAAGGGGAAGTTGGCCATCAGGCAGGCTCCATAGCTGGCCACCCGCAGCATCTCTGAGCCAATCCCAAGGCCTGGCTTCCTCTTGTCCTGCTGTTTGTCGGCCTCACCCCAACTATCCTAGGTTTGACGATGAAGGAGGCAGAAGGGCTTTCTCACCTTGAAGACTTCTCCATAGGTTCCACCACCCAGTCGCTGCAATAGATCATAGTGTTCCCGGGGGTCCTTAGTAAAGATGTCGGCATCTACAAGGGCCATCCCTGGAGGCCGCGGCTGGGCCGGTGCCCAGGGGCCAGCAGGGCCTCAGGGCTCGAGCTTTAGTATTACCCTCTGTCTCCACAAGTCCTGGGCCCGCCTTGCCTCTGCGGGCTGTGGCCTTCCCCCTCCCCACTCTCGCTTCCTGCCCCAGCTGCAGGGCTGTGCAGAGGGCTCCACCCCTGTCCCCAGGGTTCTAAGAGCCTGATTGCCCAGGGACTCGTGGGACTCCCCTTTACCCCCAGAAGGGTACTATGTAAATAAAATGTAAAAGATCTTAATTGCAACCTGAGGCTGACCCAGCATCCTTTCCCCAACTCTCTCCTATTCTGGGTGGAGTCACAAGTTACAGTAGAACCTCAGACTTGGAGTCAAGAGGTTGCATGTCTGCACAAGCTGGCTAAGTAGCGCGTAGGCCTGTTTACTCGCGGCACATACACGTCACTTAAGTGACAGCTCCAGCATGCCTGTGAAGGTGTCCGCGAGGTGCACAGGTCTGGGCTCCCGGGTGTACCAATGTGAATGCACTCAGGGCTCCTGACCACATGGGACATGCCTGCGCACCGCGCCTAAAGTGTAAGGAATCTATGTTAAACACGGGGCGCTTGTTGAGTAGCCACAATCCGGGGCCCGGTGACTCCAGAGTGCCACGGCAATCGCGCCAGGTGCATGAGCCATTCGCCTCCCCAGCGAACAGGGTGACATCACAGACCAAGGACTTAATAGTGAGAAAGTGAGCGTACTGGATACTGTTTTAGGGGCAAGAAGGGCTTCAGAGAGCACCTCGCACCCGAATGAACGCAAAGAGAAAACCACTTCAGCCTTCGCGCGGTTATTACGCGTGCGACCAGAGAACTCCGGCGTCTTTCGTGTCTACCTCTGGCGCATGCGCGTCCGGAGCTTCTGCACAAGGTTTGCAGCGGCCCGGGAAAAGCTTAGCTCCGCCTCCCGACGCCTGCGTAATAAGGCAGACTAAACCTTTTCTCACGCTGTTGGTTCCATTCAAGTGAGACCAATGCGCACGCAAAAAAATGACGACTGCTGGGAAGAAGTCACGTGGTAGCCGGAAAGCTGGGGCGGCTGCCGGAAGTTCCTTTCCCTTCGCCTTTCCTGTAGGAGCTCGAGCGTGGGGATGACGTAGTTTCCGCTTCCTGCACGTTTTTTCTTCCGGCCCTCGAGTACCGTGCTCTGGGCCTGGTGTTCGACTCCGGCTGTGGCTGCGGAAGGCGACAGTGATCATGGCTATGTTTGAGCAGATGAGAGCGAACGTGGGCAAGTTGCTCAAGGGTATCGACAGGTCTGAGCTCGGCTGGAGGGCGCTCTCTGGCCAAGCGGGGTGGAGAAGACGGGGAGCCAGCCAGGGGAGGCCAGGGCTCTATGCTCATCCAGAGTGGTGTTTCTCCAGGTTTCCCTCCGTCCCTTGGCTTTCTTTTTTACCGTCGCCCAAGACTCTCAGCGTCATTTAGTCTCTTAGTCTCTCACTTCTTCGCTCTTGTCAACCATCAAACATAAGGTTCACTGATATCTACTCTGCCAGTGGGAACCGGAGGTGATGGAGACACCCACGGGTCCTGCTTTCCTGGACTTAGGTTCTCGTTACAGCCGGGCGACAACACCTTTCAATAGTGACAACAAGGACAGATCAGGGCCAGGCCAGGGCAAGCCACGTGTAGTCCTAGGCAGGAGAGAATAGAACTGGGTCAGAAGGGGATGCCAGTAGATGCTCAGGAAGCCACATATACAGGCTGCGGAGACTGGCTGAGGTTGGAGGTATCCGGGATGGCTCCAGTAGGGCTACTGGAGAATGCACAGTTGGTCAGCTCTCTGGGTAGATCTAATGGATGGTACTAACTTTATTATTTATTGTAAAATCGAATGAATGTAGCTTTATTAAAAGGCTAATAAAGGGAGGAATACCCCAGGGCCACATTTAACGCTGTAGAATGGGAGAGTGACCTTCACGTTAACGAATTACAGTGGTAGCCCCTTAGCCCTCTGTTTACCCATCGCCGTCTGTCTGGCTGTCTCCCGCTTCCTTTTGAGACAGGTTCTCACCATACATCTCAGACTAACTCAGGCTTGCAGTTGTGCCTGTCCCCGTCTGTCGTATCTGTCGTCGTCCCCCCCCCCCCCCCATGAAAGGCATGCGGTGCCAAGCCAGGCCACTCAACCATCATGATTCCCTTCCAGGTACAACCCTGAGAACTTGGCGACCCTGGAACGGTATGTGGAGACACAGGCCAAGGAGAATGCCTATGATCTGGAGGCCAACCTGGCTGTCCTGAAATTGTGAGTGTCTGTCCTCTTCCCACCATCATGCCAGCAGCAGGATGCCACTCTGGGTAGGGAACTGGGTGCCTACGCGCCAGGGGCAAGCTGCAGGATGTGGCTGCTCTTTGGTGTGTAAGCTAGGAAGCTAAGCAAGTCAGGGCAGGGTTTTTTTGTTGTTGTTGTTCTTTTTGTTTTTAATTAACTACAAAATATACAAGCTCATCTTTTAAACAGTTCTATTGCTTGACAAAATACTGTAAACGAACAACCATGTTGCTGGTGCCTTGCTGGCCCTCTGCCACATGCTCTGCCCTATCAGACCCCCACCTTAGGTAACCACTGTGGAGCTCTACGGGCCTGGCCTCGGGTATTTACATCAAAATCAGCTTAGCTCGGGCTGTTTGCTATGAGCTTGGCTGTAATCACGCAACTCAAGCTCTCTTCTAGCATCTTCCTGTCAGCACTGGGTTAGAGTCCTTTGTCTTCTCCCATTTTTATGTGTGTGTGTGCGCGTGCGTGTTCTTGTGCATGTTTGTGGGAAGAATGTGTGCACATGCATGTGACACCCCAAAGTTGATGTTAGGAGTCATCTTCAGTCGCTCTTCTGCCTTATCTTGAGTCAGTGTCCTAGTGAACCCCGCATCACTGAACCAGCTCCTCTTCGCTAACCAGCTTGCTCCTGGAATCTGCTGTTTTCACCTTCAGAGGCTGGAATTGCAGACAAGTTTCTATGCCTCCCTGGCTTAAGTGTTTTTTTTTTCATTCCTTTTTCTTACGTGTGTGAATGCAGCAAGTGTGGAGGTCCGAGGACAACTTGGAGCAGTCAGTTCTTGCTTTCCATCTTTTTTGTTTGTTTGGTTTTGGGGACAGGGTCTGTACATATCCCTGGCTGTCCTGGAACTCCCTCTGTAGAGCAGGCTGACCTCGAACTCACAGAGGTCTGCCTGCCTCTGCCTCCTGAGTGCTGGGATTAAAGACGTGTGCTATCTTGCCTGTCACTTTCCACCTTCTGGAGTTTCTGCCTTTGAAGGCTACCTGACCTCTGGACTCCATACTTGGAGTTCTGGGATTACAAATATACCCACTACAGCCCGTCTTTATGAGTTCAGGAGATTGAACTTGTGTCATCGAGGAGTTTACACAATAAGTGTTTTTACTGACTAAGCCATCTCTCTGCCCCCTTTTCTAGTTTGGTTTTTATATTTTTAGGCAGGGTCCTATAGCTCCCACTGGCCTTAAACTTGCTATCAAGATGACCTTGAACTCACTCTCCCAAGTGCAGGGATTAAGAACTCTGGCTCAGCTTCCCCTAGACCCACCCAGCGTTTTACCATGTAGCTCAGGTTGGCCTTAAACTCCTGGGGTCTCCCCTCAGGCTAACAAGTACAATGGATACAGGCATGCGCTGCCCTCCGGTGCTTTCCTGGCTCACTACCCCCTGTATGACTTAGTTTATTTTGGTATCTTGGGTTTTGGGTCAAGGTCTCTCACTGTGCAGTTGTTGGCTCTGGACTTGCTGTGTAGACCAGGTTGGCCTTGAACTCAGAGGTCCCCCTGCCTCTGCCAACGGAATGCCCTGGTTGATGTGCCTTAGCTTTTGCAGCTGTGCAGTGGAGATGTTTGCTGGCGGTGCCGGCTGCTCCTTGAGTGCTCACTCTGTGTTAGTCTGTATTACAGGTTGTGTGTCCTGTGGGAAAGTCTGAATGTAGGTGTCCTGGTGTAGCCTTATTCCTTTGTGAGTTATGTGACAGTGTCTACCCTTTTTGGTGGCTGTGAAGATTAACTGTTCTCCTGTCCAGAGCAGGGAAGTTAAGTTTACATAGAAGATACAGTTGGTGTTGGAGCCCACACATTCCAAGCTTCCAAACTCCAGACTAGAACAGCAGTTCCCTGGCGATTTCTCAGAACATTAGGAAACAACCTTCCTCAAGACCCAGCAATACCACTTTTGGGTATATATCCAAAGGATGCTCAATCGTGCCACGAGGACATGTGCTCAACTATGTTCATAGCAGCTTTGTTTGTCATAGCCAAAACCTGGAAACAACCTAAATGCCCCTTGATCGAAGAATGGATAAGAAAAATGTGGTACATTTACACAATGGAGTACTACACAGTAGAAAAAAATAACGACAGCTTGAAATTTTGCAGGAAAATGGATGGAGCTAGAAAACATTTTGAGTGAGGTAACCCAGACACAGAAAGACAATTATCACATGTACTCACTCATAGGTGGTTTTTAAACACAAAGCAAAGAAAGCCAGCTTACAAACCACAATCCCAGAGAGCTTAGAGAACAATGCGGACACTAAGAAAGACTTACATAGATCTAATCTACATGGGAAGTAGAAAGTAGAAAAAGACAAAATCTCCTGAGTAAATTGGGAGCATGGGGACCTTGGGGGAGGATTGAAGTGGGGAGGGAAGCAGAGAAAAATGTACAGCTCAATAAATATCAATTAAAAAAAAGGAACAGCAGCTCCCTGCCTGTCTATCATGGCTATCATTTTATCCATTTGTATAAATAAGCCCAGATTGGCTTCAAAGTTGTGATCTGCCTGGGTCCTGGGATTGCAGGCACATGCCACTAGAGCTAGCTTTGCCAGATGCCGCCATTGTTATGTCTCTTGTTCTTCTCAGGTACCAGTTCAACCCGGCCTTCTTTCAGACCACGGTAACTGCCCAGATTCTGCTGAAAGCCCTCACCAACCTGCCCCACACCGACTTCACCCTGTGTAAATGTATGATCGACCAGGCACATGTATCCTTCCTTCCAGCGGCTGGGAAGCGGGGTAGGTGGAGGGATCTGGGCATACCTCCCAACAACCGGTGCCTGCTCTGGACTCGGCTT